GACCACATGAGTAGGGGAGGGACAGAGAGAGGAGAGAGAGAATCCCAAGCAGGCTCTGTGCTACCAGTGCAGAGCCCAACATGGGGCCTGAACACACGAAACTGGGATCATGACGTGAGTCAAGACCAAGAATCAGACGCTTAACCGACTGAGACATTCAGGCACACCCACATTGCTTATCTTTTTAGATGAATGACTTATATTTTAAAACAAACTGGAAGTATTAGAGAGCAGGAATGGAGCACTATGTATCATTTTAACCCACTGATATCAACTCCAGAATCCACCCCTGCCTACAGAAAAAGCAAGCAGCATTTATTAAATGTTGGTGAATGATTCTAAGTTTAAATCATCAGCTTTGGGGTATAGGCAAGGGAGGGAAATGAAAACGGTGAGAATTGGGCCTCAGGGTCTCATGGTCAATAGCCAAAGTGTTCCTGGAATTGGCAACCTACCCACCAACCAGTCACCTAAAATAAATGCTTGTTTTACCCAAGACTGAGGAAAAGCTCAGTGTAATAAATCTGATCTCTTCATGCTTTCCCCTACAATAAGAAAACATTAGGCTAATATCATCCTCAGTGGGGAAAAACTGATAGCTTTTCTATTAAGGTCAAGAACGTAACAGCTATGTCCACTCTCACCACTGTTGTTCAACATAGTACTGGAAACCCTAGCCTCAGCAATCAGACAACAACGACAAATAAAAATAAAAGGCATACAAATCGGCAAGAAAGAAGTCAAAATTTTCACTCTTCACAGAGAACAGGATACTCTATGTGGAAACCCGAAAGACTCCACCAAAAAATTGCTAGAGCAGATAGATGAATTCAGCAAAGTTGCAGGATATAAGAGCAACATACAGAAACCTGTTGCATTTCTATACACCAATAATGAAGCATCAGAAAGAGAAATCAAGGAATCAATCCCATTTACAACTACACCAAAAACCTTAAGATACTCAGGAGTAAACCTAACCAAAAAGCTAAAAGATAAGTACACTAAAACCTATAGAAAGCTTATGAAAGACACTGAAGACAACAAAAAGAAATGGAAAAGCCATCCATGCTCATGGATTGGAAGAACAAATATTGCTAAAATGTCGATACTACCCAAAGCAATCTACATGTTCAATGCAATCCCTATCAAAATAACACCAGCATTCTTCACAAAGCTAAAGCAAATAATCCTAAAATTTGTATGGAACCAGAAAAGACCCCAAATAGCCAAAGTAATGTTGAAAAAAGAAAACCAAAGCTGTAGGCATCACAATTCTGGACTTCAAGCTGTATGACAAAGCCATAATCATCAAGACAGTATGGTACTGGCACAAAAAAGACACATAGGTCAATGGAAGAGAACAGAGAACCCAGAAATATACCCACAAATGTATGACCAACTCATCTTTGACAAAATGGAAAAAAGTCTCTTTAGCAAATGGTGGGAAAACTGGACCACTATCATACACCAAAGACAAAAATAAATTCAAGATGGATGAAAGACCTAACGGTAAGACAGGAAACCATCAAAATCCCAGAGTAGGAAACAGGCAACAACCTCTCTGACCTTGGCTGCAGCAACTTCTTACTAGACATGTGTCCAGAGACAAGGGAAACAAAAGCAAAAATGAACTTATTGGACCTCGTCAAGATAAAAAGCTTCTGCACAGGGAAGGAAACAAACAACAAAACTAAAAGGCAGCTGACAGAAGAGAAGATATTTGCAAATGACATCTCAGATAAATGGTTAGTATCCAAAATCTGTAAAGAAATTATCAAACTCAACACCCAGAAAAAAAAAATCCAGTGAAGAAATGGGTACAAGAGATGAATAGACACTTCCCCAAAGAAGACATGCAGACAGATGGCTAACAGACACATGAAAAAATGTTCAACATCCCTCAGTCACTCATCATCAAGGAAATACAAATCAAAACCACAATGAGATACCACCTCACACTTGTCAGAATGGCTAAAATGAACAACTCAGGCAACAACCGATGTTGATGAGGATGTGGAGAAAGAGGAACCCTTTTGAACTGCTGGTGGGAATTTAAACTGGTGTAGCTACTTTGGAAAACAGTATGGAGGTTCCTCAAGAAGTTAAAAATAGGGGCGCCTGGGTGGCCTGAGGTCAGTTAAGTATCTGACTCTTGATTGTAGCTCAGGTTGTGATCTCACAGTTTGTGAGTTGGAGCCCTGCATCAGTGCATGGCCCGCTTTGTTCTCTCTCTGTCCCTCTCGTTTGTTCCTGCTCTCATTCTCTCTCTCAAGATAAATAAGTACACTTAAAAAAGTTAAGGGGCAACTGGGTGGCTCAGTCAGTTAAGCGTCCGACTTCAGCTCAGGTCATGATCACACAGTTTGTGGGTTCAAGCCCCGTGTCGGGCTCTGCGCTGACAGCTAGCTCAGAGCCTGGAGTCTGCTTCAAATTCTCTATCTCCCTCTCTCTCTGACCCTCTCCTGCTCACGCTGTCTCTCTCTCTCAGAAATAAATTTAAAAAAAAATTTTTTTAAATTAAAAAACAAAAATGTTAAAAATAGAATTACCCTACAACCCAGCCTTGCACTACTAGGTATTTATCCAAAGGGTAAAAATATGCTGATCTGAACGGGCACATGCACCTCAATGTTTATAGCAGCATTATCAACAATAGCCAAATTATGGAAGGAGCCCAAATGTCCACTGACTGATGAATGGATAAAGGAGATGTGGTATGATATATACATAGGAATATTATATATAATATATATGTAATGGAATATTAGTGATCAAAAAGAATGAAATCTTGCCATTTGCAACAACGTGGATGAAACTGAGTGTATTAGGCTAAGCAACATACCTCAGAGAAAGACAAACATCATATGATGTCACTTGTGTGGAATTTAAGAAACACAACATGAATATGGGGGAAGGGAAGGAAAAATAAGATAAAAACAGAGAGGGAGACAAACCCTAGGAGACTCTTAAATACAGAAAACAAACAGCATTGCTGGAAGGGAGGTGGCTGGGGGTGGGGTGGGCTAAATGGGTGATGGGCATTAAGGAGGGTACTTTTTGGGATGAGCACTGGTAGTATATATAAATGATAAATAACTAAATTGTAGTTTTGAAACCAATACTACATTATATGTTAACTAACTTGAATTAAGAAAAAAAACAAAACACTAGGGTCATGTGGCTGTCTTAGTCCATAGAGCATGCGATGTTGGATCTCAGGGTCATAAGTTCAAGCCCCATTCGGGGCACAGAGCTTACTTAAAAAATATATAGATATCTATATACGTATCTGGGTGGCTTAGTTAAGTGTCTGACTCTTGATCTCAGCTCAGGTCATGATCCCAGAGTTGTGGGATTGAACCCCACGTTGGGCTCTGCACTGAGCACGGAGACTGCTTAAGATTCTCTCCCCTGCTGTGCCCTTCTCCCCTGCTCATGTGCTTTCTCTCTCTCAAAAAAAAATACGCTTAATAAAAAATATTACATAGAATAATTTGTGGAAAATTGAGGAGGCTCACTATGTATCACCATCCTGACCTACAGTGTAGGACGACTAGAATTCAACAGTCATGGGTCTTTGTCACCCCAGACAACTCACAAAACCCACTTTCTGCTCTATTTTAGCCTCAGAAGCAAACAGCTCTGAAGTAAAAAGTATTAGGCACTCAGCAAAACGATTTTTGAGGGCTCTTGACTCTAGGGTAGCAGTGTATTTGTAGAGAAAGGCTGAATCATCTCTCACCAGCTTACAGAGAACTGCTGCCAGATGAGTTCATATGTAGTATTCTTTTTTGAGAATGTTTGTTAACCATTACTGGGAAATAAGCAGAAATGAAGAAGGACCCATTCTCCAACCATACAGGAAATTCACTGAAAAAATTATGAGAAATGCATCAAGAGGGCAGTACAATTCTGGGCTAAGGCTACAGGGCTCTGATGTTAGAATCCCTGAGTGCAGATCCCTGCTCTGTTACCACTGCTGTGTGACATGTAACAATTAACATTTTTCTGCTTTAGCTTCATCATCTGTAAAATAGTAATAATTCCTGTGTCCTACAGTACTATTGTGAGAAATGTACGAGATAATAAATGCATGCACTTAGACTAGTGCCTACATAATGACACACAGGTGCTAAATAAGTGCTAGATATTATTTCCATCAATAGTGTGATATATTTTCATTCACACTAGTAGACTTCATAACTACGGAACATCAAGGAAACAAAGGACTTAAAGGAGTGAGTCATGCACCCAGTGAAAACACTGATTTAAAATACACCTGTTGGGAGATTAGCAGGAGATCCAGAAAATGGATTCAGAAACAGCCTGGCTGCATTTTTATCTGTTTGAATACGTGATGGCAGCACAGTAACTCTAAGTCTTGCTTACCAAGAGAAGTCCCCTCCACCCTTGCTGCCCTAAAGATATACCAAAAATGGACACCCACAGCTGGTGTAGGCTCTGCCACATGGAATAAAAATTAAATAAGCATGAACATGTACTTAACTTGTGCTTATCAGATCTTTAAAAAGTCTGGGTGGCCCAGTCCATTAAGCATCCAATTTTTTTTTTTTTTTTAAGAAAGAGCATGAGTGAAGGACAGAGAGAGAGGGAAACACAGAATCCAAAGCAGGTTCCAGGCTCTGAGCTGTCAGCACAGAGCCCTACATGGGTGGGGCTTGAACTCACAAACTGTGAGATCATAATCTGAGCCAAAGTCACATGCTTAACCAACTGAGCCACCGAGGCGCTGCAAGCATCTAATTCTTGATTTCAGCTCAGGTCACGGTCTCAACAGTTCGTGAGATGGAGCTCCACATTGGGCTCTGTGCTGGCAGTGCAGTGCCTGTTTGGGATTCTCTTTCTCCCTCTCTCTCTGCCCTTCCCCTGTTCAATCTCTCTCAAAAATAAAATACACATTAAAAAAATAATAAAGTCTGATGAAATAGAAGAACATGCTTTTTCCATACCATTCAATATGAACACACAAGATTTCTTACCCAGTAACATCATCTCGCCAACACTGTCTTCCTTCTCTGAGGTGGGTTGCTGAGTAGCATCTAGGCTCACACATTCCTCTTGGGAGTGAAATACATTCAAATCCTCAAAGACCACCAGTTCCTGAAAGAGCAGTAGGCCCCAATCCTCTTAATAACAGAGGTTCTTTGACAGTTCTGCTGGTAGAATAGACTAAGACCCAAAGATCAGGAAAGGGTAGGTGAAAGGGACCTATGAATCATATGCAGATGCAGCAGACAGGAAACTCTGGCTCAGACAGGAGTCAAAGAACAAGCAGAAGAGAAACATCCAAGGAGGCGGTGAAAACAAGCCCACTCTCCTTACAAGAGTATGTTCTTATGTATGGGTTGGCTGAGCGGGGAGGGCTGCAAGAGCAGAGAAGGTGAGGGACTCAAAACAGAGAACGGGAAAACCGAACCCACCTCAGGCTCAGTTTTCTGATACAGAGACAATGTGTCCTGTTTCTGCTGGACTCCTTCTCTGGGTAGAAGCTTCACTATGGGATGAGGTTGCACTGGGGAAAGAGGAAGCTGTAGTTAATGGAGAAGTCAGTGACTCTAATATGGAAAGCCTAACCACACCTTGAGGCCACACTCTCCTCATTCCCTCAGAAGGCAACTGAGGTTTTTTTTTGGCTTCTTTGAGCCCAGGGAAGAGTTCAAGCAATAACAAGGTCTTGAACTTCTATGCAGGATCTCCTCCTTATGAAAAGAATGACTCCCTTGGGGTTTTTTAAATTCCCATTAGTACTAAAGGGGGGGGGGTTAAAGTTTGAAGATAACACATAACAAGCACAAAATTTCCAAAATTCCACATAAACTGCAGTCAATTAAACAGTACATCCAGATTTCCTTATCCTAAAAAGATATACCCCCCACTATGTTTATTCCATGGCTTTACACACATCCAGCAATCCACTTAGACTCTAGCTTGAGAAAACAATACTCCCTCTCCCCAGTATGTTGACTTACTAGAATCAACACCTTTTTTCCCCAATACCCACTGTCCTAACTTGAATTCATTACTAACATGAAAACCTATTTCAGACCCTAGTACCATTCCCTTCTCTTCTAGCGAAACAGCATATACTTCTTACGTCTGTTCTGAAAGTTTGAGCTCACATCCTTCATAATAACCAAAGTCTCCTTGACTTTCTGATTGGGCTGGACCACGCTTGGCTTGGGCAAGAAGGTGAGGAAGTGTTCCAGAACTAGCTGGTGGATGGTCTTGGGCCCACTAGTAGCATCTCGAAGTAGGTCTTGGCCCAGCTTGGAGTCCGGAGGAACTCTCAGTATAAAGGACCGCTTTGGCTTTAGGGGCATTGGAACGACTTTTGCAGCCATCGCGCCTTGAAATCACACACCACACTCGTTTTGCAGAGCTTCAGGAGTCACCTCTTACTGAAGGAATCTGTCAAGATAACCAAGCTGCAGACAAGAGAAACCATGGGTTACCCACAAAACCAGGGAGGCATGTCTGCACTCCAGTGTACAGCCTGGATAGTGAGGCCACGCGAAATGTAAAGCAGGAGAGAGAAGCTGGGGTGGGGAACTCCTAACTGAAACGGAAGGTCCCTGAACTAGACACTCTTAGCAAGTCCTGAAAGCAAGATCTGAAAGCCGTAGGATGTCCAAACCCCGAGGGTCACTGTCCTGAGAAACATGAGATGCAAAGTCCACTGGGAAGAGCGGTTGAACTCAAGCAGGTAGGAAGAGCAATGGGCTAGAAGACAGGACACCTTGGGTCCGGTACCGAGGGCATGTACTTACAAGTTGGCCTGGCCCATGAATCAAGCCATACTGCGCACCTAGGACCGCAGGTCCCTCAGATGCCTTTCGGGGGGCAGTTGATGGCTCAAGGAGCAACCGCAAACCTCCAAGAGATGTCCATACATGGCCTGCTGACTCCTTTCCGCCGTGAAAGCCCTGCTGAGGGCGGCATGGGACATCCCAGTAGGGGCTCGCAGGCCAGGCCCATTCTGGAGCCTCTCCTACCGGCCAATGGACACCTTTACCATAACGACCAGCCCGCGGCTTTGCCCGGGGTGTGTTCCCGGCTCCCCAGCCGGCCAGGCACCCCCAGCAACCGGCCAGGCTCTGCTCCCCAAAGGCCCCGTCAGCCTGGCTCCCGCCCTCGCGGAGCCCCTCACCTCTCGGGGGCTGTTCGGCCCCTGGGAGCTCGCGGGACGGTCCAGAGTCCCAGACGCAGAGACACGGAAACTAGGCGCGAGAGGCCAAGCCCTCCCCTCGCCCTTCGGAGAGCCCTCACAGGCCGCCGGCGACTATTGGTGAGCGCCGCCGTCAGTTGAGGAGGACGGTCAGGACGCGGTGCCTTTCGGGAAACCGAGCGCCTCGGCAGCCGCTACGTCACTACCGGTATCTCTTTCCGGTGCGGAAGCCTGGTCTCCTCGTTCGGAGCGGGACGTCTGCGCTTGTGAAGGGGAGGCTCGAGGCCGGCCGACAGAGCTCTCAGAGACAGAGGGAGGTTAGGCTGGCGGCAGCCGCTGTCTTTGGGGCTCTGTTTGGGAGATGAAAGGCAGAACGCTTACTCCAGTCCTCCGTGACGAACTGGCACCTCTCCAGGTTCTGGCGGGGTAGCTCCGTGGCCTGCTGGGAAGTGTAGTTCGGCTCCAAACAGCCAATGGGAGACCGCCAGGCGCAGCGGTTGGACGGGGCTGTACCAGCCTTCACCCCACTCACTGCGTCTCGACCGGAAGTGGGCTGCCTCTCGGACCGGAAGATCTGCGCGAAGCGGTGGTGTTTCCGCCAGAGCGTCCAGGGTGAGTCAAAGGACTGCAGAGGTGGTGAGTGGGTGGCGGGTCAAGCTCTTTTCCGGGTTTTGGGTCCTGTCACAGCTGTCCCTTTTGACAGGAGCTGGCCGTAGGTCGGAGCCGGGCGACCCTCCCCTTGCCTGCTTTCCAGCTTCTACCGTGCGGTCTGAACGGATCATCCTGTTTTCTGAGAAATTCTATTGGTCCTTCTCCAGACGCCTTCGTTTCCGTCCTCAGCCTCTCACGGAGGCGTAAGCATCTTTCTCCTTGCATCGTTTCTGTACTCGGTTCATTCCCCATTGAGGCACTGCTCAGGGTTGTGACAACCTCGGGACAGGGATGGCCGTATTCCTCTAAGTAACAACAGCCTCCAGCTGGATGACAAAAGTAAAAATACAATTTTTTTTTTCTTAATCTTGACTATAGGTGACTCACTTAACCATGGATTAAAATATGTTATGGAAGGGGCGCTTGTTGGCTCAGTCCGTTAAGCGTCCGATTTGGGGTCAGGATTTCATGGTTTGTGGGTTCAAGCCCCATATCAGACACCGCTTTCAGCCTTTTAGTGCATAGCCAGGAGGCTGCTTCGGATTCTGTCTCTCCTCCTGCCCCTCTGCTACTCGTGCTCTGTGTCTATCTTTCAAAAATAAACGTGGGGCGCTTGGGTTGCTCAGTCGGTTAAGCTTCCGACTTCGGCTCAGGTCATGATCTCATGGTTCGTGGGTTCAAGCCCCGCGTCGGGCTCTGTGCTGACAGCTGGCTCAGAGCCTGGAGCCTGTTCCAGATTCTGTGTCTCCCTCTCTCTCTGACCCTCCCCTGCTCACGCTGTTTCTCTCTGTCTCTCAGAAATAAGTAAAACATTAAAAATTTTTTTCAAAAATAAGTAAATGTTAAAAAATGTTTTTAATCTGTTACAATCTAGTGTCAAAACTGTGTGCTACCGCAAGTTTTTGTAAAAATAAAGAATACTTGCCTTTCCAGACACCAAAAACAAAACAAACAACAAAAACTCCTTCAATCAAAGCAGTCTTCTTTGGGGGCCCCTTGGTGGCTCAGTCGGTTAAGCTTCCAGCTCTTTTATTTTGGTTCAGGTCATGGTCTCACAGTCGGTGAGACAGAGCCCTGTGTTGGGCTTTGCCCTGACAGCAGGGAGCCTGCTTGGGATTCTTTCTCCCTCTCTGTCCCTCCTCTGCTCAGGGGGGTGTTTTCTCTCTCTTCCTCTCCCTCTTCTTCTCCCTCTCCCTCCCTCCCTCTCACAATAAATAAACTAAAAAAAAAAAGCAGAGGGTGCCTGCCTGGGTGGCTCAGTGGGTTAAGTGGGGGACTCTTGATTTCATCTCAGGTCATGATCTCACGGTTTGTGGGTTCCAGCCCTGCATCTAGCTCCACACTGACATCTTGGGGCCTGCTTGAGATTCCCTCTCTGCCCGTCCTGTGCACTTGCGCTCTCCCCCACCCTTCCCCCCAAAAAAGCAATATACAGGTCATGATCTCATGGTTAGTGAGTTTGAGTCTTACATTGGACTCCATGTTGAAAGTGAGGAGCTTACTTATGATTCCCTCTCTCTCTGCCCGTCCTGTGCACTTGCGCTCTCCCCCACCTTTCCCCCCAAAAAAGCAGTATACAGGTCATGATCTCATGGTTAGTGAGTTTGAGTCTTACATCGGACTCCACGTTGACAGTGAGGAGCTTGCTTATGATTCCCTCTCTCTCTGCCCCTCCTGCATGTTCTCTTTCTCAAAATAAGTAAATAAACTTAAAATCAGTATGATTTGAACTAGGAGTAAATAAATAGAACAGTTGAAAAGAATAGTAAGTGCCAAAATTGACTTGAATGTCTATGAACCTGTATGAAAAGATAGCATTTCAACTTAGCGTAAAATAAATGGTGCTCAGCAAAAATTGTTCTTCTGGAAAGAAAGACTCATTTCCTTATACTGTATACAAAAAACGGAATTTAATAACCAGTGAAAGAACACAAAAGAACATTAATGTAGAGGCAAGACAAGAAATTGACATGCCTTGGGGCGCCTGGGTGGCTTAGTCGGTTAAGCGTCCGACTTTCGCTTAGGTCATGATCTCGCAGTTCGTGGGTTCGAGCCCCGCGTCGGGCTCTGTGCTGACTGCCAGCTCAGAGCCTGGAGCCTGTTTCAGTCTGTGACTCCCTCTCTCTCTGACCCTCCCCTGCTCACGCTGTCTCTCTCTCTCTATCTCCTAGAAATA